TTTCAAAAAAACGTGTAACAACTTTTTTCGCTTTTTAAAAAAGTAGTTTTCAATATTTTTACAATCAAAACCATCTACAAACCCTAGGAACTCTAAAGGTCCCACAATTTTTTTAAATTTATTGTAAACTTGCCGTTACACGTTTTTCGGAGGCATCGTATTCGGACTGTTAAACGATTATTAAACTGTATGAAAATTAACCCGACAACAAAAGGGACGGGGGAACAGCGATTGTTTTCATTATCTCTGACGTGGCACGGACCAGACAGATATTAGAAAATGAATTACATTATATCAATGTCCGTTGCATGGGATTCATGCCATGTACCTCCCGATCACCAGCCGCTTGCCTTGTCATCTGAGCTATCCTAGAATTCATTATAAGGGCAGCTCAATAATCAATAAAAGCTTGCTTGAAAGTGAATACCTATCAGCACTCCCGATCGCAACTCTACCCAACTAATATTTTCAGTTTTATAAGACAAATTTTGCAGCGTTGTGCTGTAAAGTAGCTGAAAAGAAGCTGCAGATACAGCTACAAGCAGAAGCTAGCCAAATAGTTTTGGAGAGCGTTTACTCAACTTTTCCACAACCATTATTCAATTTGTCAGTCGCACTGAATAACAACAGCCAATACACGCTAATGAAACTTTTATACACATGCTTATCAACTTTCAACTTGTAGCTGCAAAGCAAAGCCACTGTATATGTTACTCATTTGATGGCTTTTACATAACCAACCTCTCTTGCTGAATAACATAAACCTCAAAACCACTAAACAACCTGTACTGCTTATTAACTGTGTTAGCGCTACTTTGGAATAATTTTTACAGACAACTAGGTTTATCTTGTTTTCCGTGCTGAGCTCCAATGCTACCGATGTGCCAGGAAGGCAGCTCCCACACCTGGACCCTACCTATCGACCCATCAACTCATGAACCGGGGACCAACGGCTTTACTTCCCATCCGAAGGAAGGCGTGATCAGAGATGTTATGCCTCAGAACATCCCGGCGGCGAAGACTGGGATTGAACCCAGGCCCGCTGGGGTGAGAGGTAATCACGCTTACCACTACACCACCGGCGCCGTTAGGTTTATTTTTAGACGTGTGCAATTTCACAGCTTTCACTCTGCTGTTTTACAAAACTGAAGTAACTAGTCGAGAAAAGTGATTCAGGTGCACTATTGTAAAGCCTCTACTCAGCGATTTTGTTGAATAAGGGCATGTTGACTTTTTTACATCAGTTGAAAGTGTTGGCGCAGCACATTTGGTAGTGTCAAGGTTTACCAATGCGGTCGTCTCGAGTTCGATTCCAGATACCAGTGCAGGGTTAAATAATTTGGTTGTGTGCTTGTAGCTAATTTCGGTTAATTTGATTCGCAGTAAAATAAACATGATAAAATAAACATGATAAATCCCTCCAACAAAAAAAAAGCGTAAACAACATTTAACCTGGTGACAAGAGAAAGCTGTGTAGTGATTATTGGATATCGGGTAAAGGTTGAGTAACCGCCTTTCAAGTTCACACACAACTAAATAGCAAGATATCAGCTGTATAGAAGCGGTCATGGATATGGAATATAAGAGCTTCTCCCGACCGTTCCAACAGCCATAAGTAGCTGACTAAGTTCGCCAGATTTGCTTGTATAAAGGTTGAGTAACGGTTGTCTCATATCGTATAACGTTTGAATACAGCTCGAGGTTGTATAAATGAATTGAGAAATTGTTAGTTGGGTAGCTCTTCAAGGACCTGTGGGAATCATTAATTCATTCATCGAGAACAATGTTACCTCTTCACCCCTCAAATTTCAAGGAAAGGATGCTCGGTTATTTTTTAAACTAGATCAATGCATTCATTGTCATGAGTCATGTGATCGATGATTACTTTTTAAATTAATTAGGCGTAGAACACAAGCTTGCACGAGCTTGCAATACAACTCACGACCTTTTACTTGGAAAGCGGAAACGATAACCACTACTCTACTGGTTTCGTCTTGTTGTTAGACTGAACCAGTGTTGTGGAATAATGAATCTTATACGTCGTTTATAAAGCATTTACAATGCATGCGATTAAACATGGACGCATAGTGGTATAAGAGCTATTCTGCTGACTGTATCCAAAGTAATGCAATGAAATCTAATAAGAGAGCTAGAAAAAAAATATTAGACGTCTAACAAAGTATGTTATTAAAACAATTGAAAGCAGTTAAATTAAAGCGAAAATGTATGTGCAAGTTACACTTATTCAGTTTGTTATTAGGTCAAACTTCTGGCGTTGAATGGAGAATACAGTCAACGTATATACAGTTTTTAACAAGAAAATTAATCAGATCAGAGAAAACAGTGGAATATATCCGCATCTATTGATCTCAATGAGCTTTTAACCAGCACATAATTTGACAACTCGTTTTAATCAGCATTGTACACCGTAATACAGTATTTATTCAATAAATACAAACAAAACAGTTTGATTTTTGATTTCAGTGATAATAAGAACCACCCTAGAAATCAATGTCGAAAAAATGAGGGCACAACTTTTTTTTTTTTTTTTTCCTTTGGTTTGTTTTTTCCGTCGATCTTGTTTTCCGTGCTTAGCACCAATGCTACCGACGTGCCAGGAAGGCAGCTCCCACACCTGGACCCTACCTATCGACCCATCAACTCATGAACCGGGGACCAACATCTTTACTTCCCATCCGAAGGAAGGCGTGATCAGAGATGTTATGCCTCAGAACATCCCGGCGGTGCAGACTAGGATTGAACCCAGTCCTGCTGGGGTGAGAGGTAATCACGCTTACCACTACACCACCGGCGCCGCTAAGCAACAACTTTGTAGAATACACTTTTAGTCTACAGTTTCAATTTCAGGCTCAAAACATATTCTTCCACCTAATTCTGAATTCTGGATCACTGTGCAGTGTAGGCAAAAAAAATTTATTTTTGGAATTTAATTCGAAACATCGATCTTTGAACAGCTTTAATTTTTAAATGGTTCAAGCAGAATTGTGGTTCCTGAACGCAAAAAGTAGGCTTTCCGATACTAATTTCCATACAACTTTCAAACACAATGCGGAAAGCCGGGTTCAATCGTCTTCAAATTTTGTACAGTTGTTTCGAACCTCATGATGTAACCAAAGAATATTGTTCTGTAAAAATGATCATGATGACCCACCCTAATATGTATAAAGCATGTAAATTATTCGACGACGACGACATATCAACAAAGTCAAATGTACTCGGAATGGGATGGGAAATTTTCGCTATTTTTAACTTTGTGCGATTTCAACTTCAAATAAATCGAATTTCGAAGGTTTCAGTTTTAAACTATAATCATGGCTTTTGATTTGTTAGAATATAACGATAAGATAATGCCAAATCAATTAATTTATGAAGATATCCTAAGATAAGTTCCATCCTATGAAATAATTCAGTAATTTCAAACATTAAACATTTTCCTGATTCCATGAAAAAATCTGAGACTATAATTGAAAACAAATTTAAAGATCCTGGTTAAAAGAAAACTGTTAAAGAATATTCAGCAAGAAATTTCATAAAAGTGTAACAATAAGGTTTGAGAGATCTCAAACTTGAATATGCATTCAAGAAATGGAGACATTTTCTAAAAGGTGTTACATGTTATATTTTAAGGATCTAAAATCCTTATAAAACTCCTAGACCCTGGAATCTTGGTAGATTTTAAGGTCTAAGCCAGAATTTTTGGTGTTTTGGAAAAGTAACGAAAAATCTACACTTCAAGAAAAAATACTCGGAAAACATCGGACTTAATATATTCATTAATAGGACTCCATCAACCATATCGAATCCTTCTCAAGAGCAGTTGTTGGCGTCGTCGGTCAGGTCGCCGCCTGGATCGAAACCTAGTAAAAACTTACTAATTGCTTAGATTGTCCATTACATTAATGTTAGATTCATATAAATTCAAAGGGCGCGATTTATACACACCTACCCTAGGCATCAGTGCAGCTGCATCAAAAATGAGTGAATCATCACCACAGAATCGAACCTGCCACCCTCTGTTGAAAACGAACTTTCTTCCACCTACTCAGCAGAATACTTAACCCCAAACGAGCAATCTCGAAAGTTTGTTTTACCTACTTAAGACGAAGTTGATGGTTGGCTATGGCAACCAACCCAACCAATCATCCTCCCGCACTAATGTCGCAAGTCCTGGGTTGAAGGGGAAAATTGGCAAATTGCAGTAATTTGCCACGAGTCATTGGTTTATTACAACAAACACACACATGCAGCCACAAAATCAGCTCAACTTCTGTGATCTCAGAAAGCCACAAACTACCTACCGATCCTCGCGCCACAGCTCTTTCTTCATCCAACGAACGCGACGACGGTAGGAAGCGAGCTTATATCAATCAATTTCTGCCGGCATTGCACTTATTAGTTTACCACCGACCGACCACCACGGTTCGCTTTGCGGTCATAAAGTTGTTCATTTGATAACTATATCCCAGGTGGTGATGGTGGTGGTGGTGGTAGTGCATACATGTGAATGTTCTGGCGACGCAAGGAGTAGTGCAACTATAATTACGGTTTGCCACCACTTCCGGGTGGGAAGTCAGACGTCTGACGACACCAGGAGGCGCGCGGTTCGGTGTTTGCATTTGGGGGTTTGGTTGTTGAAATTGAGAAGAGTCGTAAAGGTTGCATTTTAATGAGAAATTTAAACACGATTCTTGGTGGGCTATACTGGCCACTGAAAAATATTTTTGGGATTCTCATTCACTTGTATCTGAGGGCAAAATTCGCTATAATTTCAAGAAAAAGTGCATCACTGCAGTACCGCCGAAACAGGAAAAAGGCAAACGAAACAACCTGCGGAACTAATATTGCACTTTTTCACCGAGTTAAATCCATGGGTTGGAACAATTTAATTGACGTTTTATTCTCTTCCTGTTTATTCTTTTCTCCAACCTCAATGCTATTGCTGCTGCCGCCGCCTTGGTGTACCACACACACACACACAGTCGATCCCAAATTCAGTGCGCCGATTTCTAATGTGACGGTTCCGGTCGGCCGGGAAGGTGTGATGACGTGCACGGTGCACGATTTACACAAATATAAGGTAATTTTCCGCACAATTACGCCTCTCACTTCTGCTACCAAGTAGAATATTATACTAATTGCGAAGGTTAAACGCACCCAGTGCAGTTGCAAATAGTAGATTGATTGATCTCTTCCTACAGGTCGCGTGGCTTCGGGTGGACACCCAGACGATCCTGACTATCGAAACGCTGGTAATTACCAAGAGCGAGCGGGTTTCCGTAACCCACACCGAGCAGCGCATCTGGCAGTTGCGCATCAAGGACATCAAGGAGTCCGACAAGGGTTGGTACATGTGCCAGATCAACACCGACCCGATGAAGAGCCAAACGGGCTACCTGAACGTCGTAGGTGAGTCGGGGCTAAATTTGTCACCTTTCACCCTCGTAGTAAACACGTCGCCACCAAGTCAAACAATCAAAACGGAGAATTTCGAAGTGTGGCGGCATATTATTACTACAAATTCCTTTAATCACTGACTCGCGTGCCTGCAGATAGGATAATAATTTACCTTTAACTGCCCCCAAGGAAGGGGCCGGCCAGCTCTTGAAGACCACAATGCCTAATGCTGAAATGCCATTACATACTGCTGAAGAGTGGTGGGTGGGATTAGCGGCTTAGGACTGATGTTTTGGGGAACTTTCATAAGTAAGAAAATCGACGTGGCGTTAGGTGGGAGGTTGTGGTGGCCTGTTAGGGGAATTGGAGGCCGTGAACAAAGGCAAACGCGTGGGTGGTGTTAAAATTTTAATCATAATCATTTACAGTTGTAGTTTTAGGTCTTCCCTACGAAGGGATATTGTGGCGGAGGTTTAGCAACTAGTACACACTGATTGCGTTTTGATGGGGTCACCGGAATCGTGATCGGATTTTTCCTACCTAAATGTAGTTGATTGTTTATTTGGAAGGCTCAATTGCGTTAACTTTACGGAGCCAATAGTTAATTTTTTTTCCATGATTTGTTTTCCGTCGATCTTGCTTTCCGTACTGAGTAGCAATGCTACAGACAGCTCCCACACCTGGACCCTACCTATCGACCCATCAACTCATGAACCAGGGACCAACGGCTTTACTTCCCTTCCGAATGAAGGCGTGATCAGAGAGTTTATGCCTCAGAAAACCCCGGGGTGCCAACTGGTATTGAACCCAGGCCTTTTGGGGTGAGAGGCAATCACGCTTGCCACTACACCACCGGAGCCGCATTTATAATTCATTTTTGAAACTTAAAATGTTGCTTAAATGTACGTCTAGAATAGATGGGATCAATTATTCCTGGTTTACTCAAGGTTAGAGGGTTGACATGGTTGAGGAAAGGATCTGGGCAGGATCTTGGAAGTGAGGTTTTGTTGTCTCTTCAGTGAAATGCCGCCTGATGAAACGGTTCATGGTGGTTACTCATGGTTACTCCAGAACAACATGGAATATTAATGATCTTTAATGTAGGATCCGATAGCTTCTGGGTAGTACCATAAACGTCAGGAAAGTTTCGAAATCTTCAGTGATGATCCAAAAGTTTCTGAGCAGTTCCATTAAATTCAGGAAAATTTAAGGAACTTTAGGAGCTTCCGTTGCAAAAACTTCAGTTGAGTTCAAAGATCTTAGGGAAGTTACGTAGCTTTGGACAATTCTGAAAATTTAGGGCAGTTTCATGATAATCAAGAAAATCATCAGAACTTCAGGAAAGTTCCGAAAACTTCTGGTGAATTTTGAAATTTTAGGGCAGTTCCATTAAATTCAGGAAAATAAAAACAACTCAGAGATCAGTTTTTCAAATGGTGGCCCTGAAAAGAACTTTTTTTCTGGTTTCCATTGAAAGGGTTGTTGGAATTGGAGGGTACGGAACAAATTGGTACTAATCGCTGGTACTGGTGCTCCTTTTATTTTGGCACTATTTGTTGTATTTGCTTCTGTGTATGGAGAACACAAAACACATAAACGTGCTACCAATTGACGTCTGCGGAAAGGTTTAGAGCTGAATGATTTACGCTAGTTTAGTCTTTCACGGAGAATCAATTTCGTGATTTTTCGAACACTGCTATTGGCACTGATTGATGATTCTTTGCTATTATTTCTCTCCATGATTCAAAAATATTTCAACTTTGTGAACCAGTTTTACCCACCATCTAGAGACCTTAAAATAAATTCTACAGCGTAGATATATAGTGGCCGTGAAAAAGGCCATTTGGGATCAAAAAGATTTACATGCTGGTACTTTCTGGATGGCGTACTTACACCATTGCACAGCGGTTGAAATTTTGCAGGTGATCAATGTTGTAGTCAGCCTAACGAAACGACTGCAGTGGAACGTCCAAAAGATGGCGAAGCTACTCAGAGAGCCTTTGATGCGTCCTTCAGAGTTCTACCAAATTTGTGGTGACCATCTTCGTAGGAAATGAAATTGCCATTTTGGATCGAAGCGAACAAATTGGTGTACTTGGGTATCTCCAGAGACAGCGTGCTCGGTTGGCTTTCCTGGCAGCAGCATTACGCAGGTGATCATTGTAGTCAAACTCAGCTGTGTAACGTTCGAACGGTTTCGGTACCGTTGGTGATGCTTTTCATTCCAATGTCCACGCTCACTTTATGGGTCTTTCCAATTAGTTGTGACGACTGTCCCCGCAGCTAATGGAATTGCAACTGATCACGTTCACTGAATTACAGTCTGTTTATACTTGCAGAATAGCTCATTAGGCCCCTCTCTTTTGGAGTATTTTTCGTCAGAGCGTTCCTGGTTGCAAGTATATAACAGCATTCACACCAGACCAAAACGTGCTCCGGCCGGCATTGAATTGGATTGTTGTGAAAGAACAACTAGCGCTACTTGGCTCTTTCACACCAGTGCATGTAGATGCCGACCGGATGACGGCGGCCCAGTCATGCTGGCTATTGCGGGAAACCTTTCCTCCGGTTGATGTGGGTGCATTCGTCGTCGTCTTCGTTTTGGTACGATGCGTGCCGTTCCACTCATACGTCGTGTCCGATGCTTATCCGTCCGTTGCTCGAAAGTAAATGACGAAGAAAACGATTTGGCAAGCGTTTTTATTACCGCTGCTTTTCTCCTCCCTTCCTTTGATTGGTGAAATGGTGAGTGGTCAACCGAGCATTGAGCTCGCTCATGTGAGCATGCGCAATGTGTCGTGTGTTCGATTTGCGCTCTATCGTTACGTCCGTGTTTGGGATTTTTCGTTACGTGTCTGAATTTTGATTTTTTAATGTGACCCCCAGTATAGAAATTAAAGACGTAGTCTAACGTCAAAAAAATCACCATGCTGTAGAAAACATCACGAAGCGTAGAAATTTTTAGAGCAGTTTTATCAACAATCAATACGAAACTAACGATCTAGTCAAAATTCAAGTACTAAACAATGTTTGTTTTGATTCGCTATGAAAGTTTGACAGATAAAATGAGGGGTTCGTGGATTTTCCTATGTTTCGAGAGGTGCATCGATTAGCTTGGGACCAAAGATAGAACCAGAGCTGAGCCAAAAAGTTGAGCTCGTTTCTTCGGGACCTTCTGGTCTTAGAGTTACCTCTATGGGTTTATTAAGATCAGGGTAATTTCTAGAACATCATCAGAAGAGTAACGAAATCTAAGAGAACTTCAGGGTGGTCAACAACAATTGTTGGAACTTTGAAAAAGTTCTGAGCACCTAATGGAAATACCGAGTAAACGAAATTTTGTTTAATTTCGGACAGTTCAGGTGAGTTTCGTGAATTTCAAGGCAGTTCCATCAACTTCAAGGAAACCGCAGAAATTTCAGGGATATCCTGAGAGCTTCCCAAAAGCTAAGAAACGTTCAGAAAAGTTCAGAGAACTTGAGGAAACTTATGGAAACTTTAAAGAAGATCCAAGCACCTCAGGATTAGCGATTATCAGGAGAGCTCAAAGATCTTAAGACTGTCACAATAACTTCAAGGATTTTCTGACTTTCGAGAAGAAATATCTGTTAACATCAGTTTCAATGAACTCAGGACAGCACCATGAACGTCAGCAACATTTTCAGAAACTTTAAGAAGTTCAAGGAATTCCTGGGAAGTCCAGAGAACTTCCTAATGAATGTGATGTTCGTGGAAGATCAGAAATTTTCATAGCAGTTCCATTAATTAGTCTAAGTAATTTTCAAAAAGTTCAGAAGAATTATGAATTATTTCGAGCATTTCAGGAATGCTCTGACAATTTATGTAAACATGCGGGGTCTTCAATGAAGTTCCATGCATATCAGGATAATAAAGGAACCCTACAGAAGTTCCGGGAACTACTTGAAACATTATGAAACGTAAGAGAATATTCGAGTGCCTCTTGAATATTCAGGGAAGTCTAGAGATTTTAATGGAAGTTCCACGAGCTTCAAGGAAGTATCGAAAACATATAAAAATGACCAAAAGTTTTTGTTCTACAATTTTTGTTAGTTTTTCAGTGTCCATCCCAAACCCTTTCAATGTGGATATCAATCTTCTTGAAACATTTTGAGATATAGCAGTTGCTTTGGGCACTCTGCGTTATGTTCCAGATACCCTCGGGAAAACGGGTAGAACTTGAATTATACCAAAACCGGTCATACGATACATCAAACAGCATCAGCCTGCAATAATGAATCCTTTCAAGTTCATTCTTAATATTCAAGGAAGACCAGAAGAAAATCAGGGATCTTCTGTGCTTTTAAGAGTAATTTCCATAAATTTCAGCACAACTCAAACTGCTTCAGGGTTGTTCAAGTTTCTTTAAGGAATATCCAAAATATTCAGATAATTATCAAAAATTTTAGGGAAGTTCCTTGGACCTCAAAAAAGTTCAGAACTTTGGGAAAGATTCATGATCTTTAAGGGTGCATTCCGAGGACTTCAGTGTAGATCCATGGACTTCAGAAAAAACAAATCGAGAAATAAGAAGATCAGATATTCATGACACTTCAAGACTTCAAGAACATTTAAGTAACTTTACAAGTACTTCGAGAAACTTCAGAAAACTTCACGTAAGTTTATAGAGCTCTATGTAAGGTCAGAAACCTTGAAACCATGAAATTTCATGGAACATGGTCCAGAAAACTTCAAAGGGTTCCATAAGAGTCAGAAAAATTTTGGGAACCTTTACGAGGCTCCGAGAAAGTCTGGAAAATTTTGAGAACTTAATGTAAACAATTGTGGGAACCTTCAAGAAATTCTGGGAAATTTCGTGAAAATTGTAAGAAAATCAAGAAAGCTTCGAAAACTTCAGGGAATTCCAAGAACTTCGACAGCTATCGGGAAGTTTTAAGATAGCTTCAGCGTAGTTTCATGGGTATCATAAAAATTTCTCGAACTTTTCTGAATATCAAAGAGCTTCAGAGCAGTTCCATTAAAATCAGAAAAAT